TCTTTAATTGCACAAGTAGCAGCATATCGAAATAGAGAAATGATTAACAGACTAATTGGCCAAACAAAAAGATTAGCCAGGGTAACGAAGAAGGGGTTTAGGGATTTAAATCTGCAATTGCAAGCCACAACCAAGATGACCCTGCAGAACAGAATGGCATTAGACCTGTTGTTGCTCAAGGAACATGGTGTTTGTGAATATCTAAAAGACAGAATAGATCATTGTTGTGTTCATATTCCTAATGTAACTACAGACATAGAGTATGACATTTCCCAATTAACAAAAGTAGAACAAGAAGCAGAAAGAGAGAAAAACTACATTGAACAAAATTGGATGGGAGCACTCTTAGGTAGTTTGGGCCTTCACTTCACTGGATGGATACGTTCCCTTTTGCAAACAGTAATTGTAATGATAATTGTGTTCTTAATGCTGTATCTGATGTATTTTTGTATTCAAAGAGAAATGGCTCGGAACACTGCGTGGACTCATCGAATTATAGGAACTGTAATTAAAGAATATCCAAAGCCCCCCTCTCCTCCCACATATCAGGAAACAGCTACCTAAGGAAATGAAAATACTTGACTTAAGTTGAGTGAAGTATTTTCAAAGGGGGGAAATGTTGGAAAAGAGTAAAAATTTTGAAAAGATAGAGTAGTTATATATGTATAACTGGTAGAAATGATTATTTGAGAAATCCATAAATCAGAGAATGGTTCTGTCGAAACTTTTAGTTTCATACCAGGGTTATTCTATAACGAATGATACAATGGTAGTTTGGTAGCAGAAAGTAACACACCTGTGTATGGTGAAGGGTATAAGTGATAAATTAGGAAAGTATATTGTAAGAATATCTAGAACCTAGGTACACCAAAAGGCAGTCAAGGGGAAATAGGAGGGCAGCTGACCTCCACATAATGGTGGGAACACGTCCAAAGAACAGAAAGTGAAAAGTGTCAGCTGAGGAAGCTTCTACTTCATCCGAGGAAGACTCCTTATTTCTCAGGACGACCATCAGAGGGGGCTGCGCAAGCGCAGAAGAGGCTGATGTCGCAATGGACTGATGTAGGGCATACGTGTGATTGATGATGTAATCCGTGTTGGATACTGTATAAATTGCGAACGCGATGTGACGAGACCGAAGCCAGATTTGGGCGCGTGCCCCTGGTTTCCCAGCGCTGCAATAAAGCACCTCATATAACCATTCCGGTGGTTATGTGTCAGTTCCTACGCTAACACAGGGACTGTGAGAATGGAGACCTTGGGCCCACTGAAGGAGAGGAATTCGTTCGAGACCATCTTAAAAATCTGAATGTGCACAAGTCCATGGGTCCTGATGAAATCCATCCACGGGTCCTGAAGGAGCTGGCGAATGAAGTTGCTAAGCCGCTGGCCATCATATTTGAAAAATCATGGCAGTCAGGTGAAGTTCCCGATGACTGGAAAAAGGGAAATGTAACCCCCATTTTCAAGAAGGGGAAAATGGATGACCCAGGCAATTACAGACCAGTCAGTCTCACCTCTGTGCCTGGCAAAATCTTAGAGCAGAGTCTCCTGGAAGGCATGCTAAGGCACATGAAAAACAACAAGGTGCTTGGTGACAGCCAGCATGGCTTCACCAAGGGGAAATCCTGCCTGACCAATTTGGTGGCCTTATATGATGGGGCTACAGAACTGATGGACAGTGGTAAAGCAGTTGATGTCATCTACCTGGACTTGTGTAAAGCGTTCGACACTGTCCCACACAACATTCTTGTCTCTAAATTGGAGAGACATCAATTTGATGAATGGACCACTCGGTGGATAAAGAACTGGCTGGATGGCCGCACACAAAGATTTGTGGTCAATGGCTCAATGGCCGGCTGGAGACCAGTTACGAGTGGTGTCCCTCAGGGGTCAGTGTTGGGACCGGTCTTGTTTAACATCTTCGTCGCTGACATGGACAGTGGGATTGAGTGCGCCCTCAGCAAGTTTGCTGATGACACCAAGCTGTGTGCTTCGGTTGATATGCTGGAGGGAAGGAATGCCATCCAGAGGGACCTTGACACGCTTGTGAGGTGGGCTGATGCCAACCTCATGAAGTTTAACCATGCCAAGCGCAAGGTCCTACACCTGGGTTGGAGCAATCCCAGACACAGCTACAGGCTGGGCAGAGAAGGGATTCAGAGCAGCCCTGCAGAGAAGGACTTGGGGGTGCTGGTCGATGAGAAAATGAACATGAGCCAGCAGTGTGCGCTTGCAGCCCAGAAAACCAACCATATCCTGGGCTGCATCAAAAGGAGCGTGACCAGCAGGTCGAAGGAGGTGATCCTGTTCCTTTATTCTGCTCTCATGAGACCTCACTTGGAGTATTGTGTACAGTTCTGGTGTCCTCAACATAAAAAGGACATGGATCTGTTGGAACAAGTCCAGAGGAGGGCCACGAGAATGATCAGGGGACTGGAACACCTCCCATATGAAGATTGGCTGAGAAAGTTGGGGCTGTTCAGCCTGGAGAAGAGAAGGCTGTGTGGAGACCTCATAGCAGCCTTCCATTATCTGAAGGGGGCCTATAGGGATACTGGGGAGGGACTCTTCATTAGGGACTGTAGTGATAGGACAAGGGGTAATGGGTTAAAACTTAAACAGGGGAAGTTTAGATTGGATATAAGGAGGAAATTCTTTCCTGTTAGGGTAGTGAGGCACTGGAATGGGTTGCCCAGGGAGGTTGTGAATGCTTCATCCCTGGCAGTGTTCAAGGCTAGGTTGGATGAGGCCTTGGGTAATATGGTTTAGGGCAAGGTGTCCCTGCCCATGGCAGAGGGGTTGGAACTTGATGATCTTAAGGTCCTTTCCAACCCTAACTATTCTATGATTCTATGACATGCTTGTCTCTAAACTGGAGAGACATGGATTTGACAAATGGACCACCCACTGGATAAAGAATTGGCTGGATGGCCACATGCAGAGTATTGTGGTCAACAGCTCCATGTCCAAGTGGAGATCAGTGATGTTCCTCAGGGGTCAGTACTGGGACTGGTAGTGTTCGACATCTTTGTCAGCAACATGGACAGTGGGATTGAGTGCACCCTCAGCAAGTTTGACAACACCACCAAGTTGTGTTGTGTAGTCAACACACTGGAGGGAAAGGATGCCATCCAGAAGTACCTTGACACACTTGAGAGGTGGGCCAATGCAAACCAAAGTTCAACAACGCCAAGTGGAAGGTCCTGCACCTGGGTCAGAACAATCCCAAGCACAACTACAGGCTGGGTGAAGAATGAATTGAGAGCAGCCCTGAGAGGGACCTGGGGGTGTTGGTTGATAAAAAGTCCAACATGACCCACCAATGTGCACTTGCAGTCCAGAAAGCCAACTGCAGCCTGAGCTGCATCAAAAGAAGAATGAACAGCAGGTTGAGGGAGGGGATTTTCTCCCTCTGCTCTTGTGAGTTGCCAGCTGGAGTACTGTGTTCAGCTCTGGGGCTCCCAACATAAGAAGGACAAGTCCAGAGGAGGCCATGAAGATGCTCCAAGGGCTGGAGCACCTCTACTCTGAAGACAGGCTGAGAGAGCTGGGCTTATTCAGCCTGGAGAAAAGAAGGCTCTGAGGAGACTTTAGAGCAACTTCCAGTGCCTACAGGGGCTGACAAGAAATCTGGAGAGGCACTTTTTACAAGGGCCCGTAGGGATAGGACCATTCTATGATGTTTGCCAGGGGTGGTGTCATGGAATTACAGACAACACATAGGAAGGCTAGAAAGCAGGCTAAGGCTGTCATCGGCTGTGGGAGGTGAAGGCAATAGGATTTGCATGATGAGCTTAAGCAACACTCTGAAAACAAGCTTTGAGGCCTTGATACCAAACAAGCCTTGGGGCGATAAGTTAGGATGTTGATGTAACAAAGAATTTCAGTTGAAGGTCAGAGGACATGGCAAGATGTAAAGTAAGAAAGCGGAACTGTCATTGCGTGAACAGCAAGCAGTCAGCATTGTGATTGGACTATTGTGTGCATGTTTAACCTAGGGTATTTTCACAGAATCCAATGAGATTGAACTTGTCATGCTCGTGCATGTTGGGAAAGCACTGAACAAGGGGATAAAAGGGCTTGATTGTAATAAAGCTTTGTCTCAGTATTCTCACCAACCTGAGTCCGTGTCACAATACGCCACAATGGGACACCTCAATTTTATGCCTCTAATGTCTTTGTCCAGAAGAAAAAAAGAAAAAAAAAACCAACCCCCAAAAAACAACAACAACAAAAAGCAACACCTTCTTCATGTAGTCTAGACCTAGCCCTTATGGAATTTGACACTGAGTTATGACCGACTTGTTCACATGAAATCTACATTACAAACATACTGATCTTTGCTATATTTCCAGTCTAGCAAGTAGTCTATGTAAAGGCAACTAGAACTGCCAATATTTCCCAGAAATATGGAAATTACAACTCAGACAGTTGAGCAGACAAAAACCATATGATTGGCCCTCTGGTAGGCAAGTCTGCACCAATCTAGAATGATAAAGAAACTATCAAATGACACTAACCTGTAGAACTGAATGTAATAGCAGGCAGTTTCATTAGCAGCTCAAAGAGCATCTCAGCTATGTAAAATAACATTCCTTATCCTTGTTGTCAAAAGATCCAAAAAAAAAGGTGAGAGCTTCAATGTATCGGCACTAGAACTAGGATTTTTCACATGATCTTGTGGTCAGGCAATGCCTGGCTGCTCCATGGTATGGCTGATCCTGGCTGCTCCATGCTATGGCTGATCCTGGCTATTTTAGGATCAATTAACTTAATAAAGTATGAACAACTGCAATATACAATGTCAAACACGATGTCAAGTTGGTAATTAGATAAAAAGAAACTTTCGCAACCTCAGTCTTGAGGGAAAACGAAGAGTAGGCAAGAGCAAGAGTTACATACCTGTTCTGACGAATGCTTTTAGCTTGTTATTATTTCTACAACTCCAAACATGTTACAGCACACAATCTGAGAAATCTGAGCAATCTGAGACTCACATCAATTATACTAATCATATGAGGAAGCAGGCGATCCATTCGAACTTCCAGCAACATTACCAGAGCACGGCAAACATTTTTACGTACTTCAGGATCCTCGTCACCAGACAGTGCAAAAAGATTCTGTTACAAAGCAATATCAATTGAAAAGCCTCAATTAATCTAGTTCAACTTGTATTGAAGTTGATATGACTGGCAAACTAAATATGCATACATGTCCTTCTGTACCCCCCCCCCCCCACCTAAAAATACCATATTATTTCTTAAAGATTTATGGTTTAGCAAATGAACTCTTCAAGACTCTCAATGTGCATTGCTACCAGTGTTTTGGTCATGTGTACATTAGACAGAAGAACATTATTTCCTGAATTATTTTTTTACCCTAAACTTTAATGAAGTTCTGAAGCTAGAAAACTCCTTCAGTACATAACAGCAGTAAATAATGTACTCTAGATAACCCAAATAACACCCTTTTAATCAGTAGTAGTATTCCGAGAGACCCGTCATCCAGACTTGGTGACATGATGATCCCCATCCTGAACTCTCCATCACAGGTAAGTGACAGACTGCTGCCAATACCTTTATGCAACAAGAGTTTCTCCTATTTATGAAAAGGAAGCATTTTCTGAAATACTATTTCTTGGGTTGGGAGAGTAATCTAATCTAAGCATAAGCATACAAAATGAACTTTGGTCAATGGGGATTGAAGATAAGAACGGGAAGACAGCAATGTTAAGTTTGGGTGTAGTGGTGGTTGCAAAACATTACTCAAAGCTCTTGATAAATCAGTTATGTAATTTAACTTAATCCCCCCCAACCAAGAATGCACACTCACCTCAATAAAAGAATCTATGTGCAACATAAGCGCTTGAGTTCTGCTGATGATAAACTGATTGACGCATGCAACAGCATGAGACCTACAAATGGAACAGTTAAAATTTATTTTTTTTTACTTAAACATTTTCTAAACTGTACATATGCATCAAAAACATTAGGAAGCAAATCACATTGTCCAAGCATCTTCAAGAGGCAAGAGGGAACAAATCTGCACATCTATATTGTTATCATAAAAATTACTAAACCACATTTTTAAGTACCACCTTATACTCCAATATATCTAATAATTATTTTAAATAAAGTATTCAGTACATAAAAAACAGAGCAGAATGACTCTATCTGGCACATTTGTTCCCAACAGTATGTAGGAATGTACTGTTTCTATATATTACGATTATTGATCTTCTCTGATATTAAAAATTCTATGCAAGTCAACATGGTGAAATTTTACCACTAACGTAACTCCAAACATCTAGTCTGTTCAGACATTTCTTGGAAAAAGTAAATGTTCAAAAGTTGTCCCTTGATAGATTTTAACATAAAATATTTTACTGATACTACTAATATTCTTTATACTTCAGCACTATGTACTGAAACCAGGCTATGGGTCAGCAGGCAATCTACTTAAAGTTGAAATTGGTTTTATTATCTCAAGGACACAAACATCACAGCAGACAAAAAGTAAAAGACTGTTTTTAATGTGATAAGGAAAAAAAGGAGTATTTTCTCCATCTTTCTCAGCTCCAATGAAGTATTAAGCTTATTTTTCCACAAGTACAAGTTCATGCTTTGTTATATATTTTTCTTAGTGCACATGCATTTTAGGTGAGTTTCTATATCTTATTTAAATCCTATCATGCTATATTCGTAGTTATACTCTTCCTTTCAGTGTGCACCATCTACTACCATTGGCAATAATTGCTGCCTCCAAGAATCTTTCAATATGATTTTCAAACAGGAGTTATAAAACTTATTTCACGGAATCACACTGAATGGTTGAGGTTGGACATTCTTGTCCAATACCCCTGATCAAATAGGGACACCTAGAGCTGGTTGCATGGGACCACATCCCAACAGCTTTTGAATATCTCCAAGGATGGGGACTCCACCACCTTCTCTAGGCAACCAGCACCTGATCAACCTCACAAGTAAGAAAAAGTACTTCCTGATGTTAAGGCAGAACCGCATGTGGTTCAGTTTTTGTCCATTGCCTCTTGTCCTGTCACTGGGTTGTCCAAAAAGAACCTGGCTCAGTCTTGTTTACACCCTCCCTTTACATGCATTGACAAGGTCTCCCCAGAGGCTTCTCCAGGCTGAACAGTCCCAGCTCCCTCAGCGTTTCCTCATAGGAAAGAGGCTCCAGACCCTTCAACGTCCTTGTGGCACTTCACAGGAGCTCCATGTCTCTCTTGTACTGATAAGCACAGAAATGGACATAGGGCTCCAGGTGAGGCTTCACCTGAATGGTGAAGGGAAGGATCACTTCCCATGCTGGCAACACTGCAGCCCAGGATACCATTCACTTTCTTTGTGGCAAGGGCACATCACTGGCTTATTTCAGGGTAAATGCTACTGTTATTGTTGACAAATATTAGCAATAAGGAGTTAATTTTTCTTCTATTCTATACTCCTATTACTTTGGAGAGATTAATACTGTATTAAAGTAAAAAGATGCTGAACCCATTTAATTTGATTCAGCTGAAAGATAAAGAGCTTTCTAAGTGCAGTTAAAGCAGAAAAATATTTTCTTCAAGAACTCAGAAACTGATAATAAAAAATTTTGTACTCTCCTATTGCTGTAGTCATTACAAAATAAATGCTTTCTAATCGTAATATGAAATTTTAACCACAGCACTGCAGTTTCCATGATAAAATGCAAAATCCTAAAAGAAATAGTTTGATTTTCAAAGTCAAACAAATTCGAGATTTGGAAGATGTATAAAGAGGTGAGGCTGAACTATAAACTAAGCAGATAAGTGTGGAAATTAATGACGCATGAAATCTCTGTGCCTTCTCTCAACTTGCACATGCAGGATCAATTAAAAAAACTAAATATGCTTTAAATATCAACCTCATTGCTCACGCAAATAAATTTTTAACAGGTAACTTTAGTACAAAACCCAAACCTACCTTATTTTTGGACTGCTGTGTTTGAAGAACTGCAAGAATTTAGGTATCATGATATTGAGTGGTCGGTCCAATGCATCACTATCTAAAATTTCAGCGGAATCTTCACATATCTTCTGAAGAGCACCAAATGCACCCTGTTTAAAAAAAAACCCAACAAAACAAACAAAAAAAAAAACACCCAAAAACCTGCAAACCTCAAAACCTGTTAATTTACATTTTGAAGAAAGCAACATTTTAAGGTTTATACAGAACAGGTAATTTTAGCACACCACAGCAGTAAATGTAGCTAATGAAACATGGAGTTAAATTAAAACATAGTTAAAGCATTTTATTTAAGCACTTTATACTGTCATCTATAAGCTCTCAAACTATCTATAAGTGACAATTTTAATTTTAGTATTTATGTTCATTTATTCAATCATATTTTTTAAAAAAGTTCAAAGCAAAATCTTATTTGAAAACTAAATGACAAATTGCAGGCTCATCCAAGTTAATTACATATACAATTTTATTTCCTTTAACGGTTTGTTATAGGGCAAAACAGAACTCTGGACATGATGGTCAATTTGAGTTTCATTTCCAAGGGTTGGTGGTGGATTTTGTGGGTTATTTTTTGGTTGGGTTTTTTTCCTTCTTTATTAAGAAAGTGGCACTAAAACACTATATAACAGCATGACATCTTGGACCACTTGTCATATGTCTGAGGATTATTTTATACAAAATGCTTCACAGCATCAAGTAATTAAAATTGTGTGATCACAGGCATCGTGAGAATGATGCAGATAACACACCAATGCTTTAGATGTTGCTCAGTAGCACTTACCCTAATCAAGGACTTTTCAGTCTTTCATGCTCTGCCAGTGAGGAGGGGAACAAGAAGTTGGGGGGGAGCAGAGACAGGACACCTGACCCAAACTAGCCAAAGGGGTATTCCATACCACAGCATATCATGCCCAGTATATAAGTTCGGGGCAGTTACCTGGAAGGGATCAATCGCTGCTCAGGTCAGGCTGGGTATCGGTTGGGGGGTAGTGAGCAATTGGATTGTGCATCACTGCTGTTTACTGTTTTGTGTTTTTTTTTTCCCTTTAGTTTTATATCTCCTTGTTATTCCCCTTTTCAGTATTAGTATCGTACTTTACTTATTAAACCTGTGGATTTTAAATTCTTTTGATTCTCTTCCCCATCCTGCCCGGGGGACGGGGGAAAAGGGGTGTGAGCGAATGGCTGTGCGGTGCTGAGGTCCCATCTGGACTTAAACCATGGTAATCTGGTATTTATTTATTTTCCTTCATAAACATTGAGCAAAAAAAGTTAATTTCACACTAGCCTGAAATAGCAGTGACAGATTACGTTTCCAGATTAAGTTATAAGAGGAATGAACAACACTACTTTTAAGTAAGAGAAAATTCAGGGTCGGCCTGATGATGCCAAAAAGATTTGGCATCACAAAATGGTAACTTTAGGACACTTCAGGTTTTATCCGGAGACCTCGTAGCAGCCTTCCACTATCTGAAGGGTGACTACAAGAATGCCAGAGAGGAACACTTCATCAGGGACTGCAGCAATAGGACAAGGGGCAGGACAAAGGGAAGTTTAGATTAGATATAAGGAAGAAGTTCTTCACTGTGAGGGTGGTGAGGCACTGGAACAGGCTGCCCAAGGAAGTTGTGAATGCTCCATCCCTGGCAGTGTTCAAGGCCAGATTGGACAGAGTCTTGGGTGACATAGTTTAGTGTGTGATGTCCCTGCCCATGGCAGAGAGGTTGGAACTAGTTGATCTTAAGGTCCTTTCCAACCATGACTATTCTGTGATTCTATGACTGCCCATCTACAGCCTTATTCTGGTTTTATGCAAATAAAACATTCATTTGAATGAACACTAAGAACACAAAATGCAGGCAGAATAAAAAGTATCAAATTTGACCCACTGTTCTCTGAAGAGATTATATATGTGTGCATACACACACAGAAAAAAATACTAGAAATATATTTATCATATATAAAGACAAAGAATAGTCAAATTTAGATTATAATCTATTTCAAAATAAGCCTCCTTACCTCACAGGTATTGTAATCTTCAGAATCCAACAGGCTGCAAAGCTTTGGTAAGAGTTCAGGCCAATTCTGTAATTCCCCTTTTGAAGTAATGGTTGTTATCAGAATGCCTAAGTGAATCAGAGAAATAAAAGAAACAAGATCTCATATATCTTCACATGTTTCACACCAATTTTTCTCATTTTATTCCTCTCAAAGATCTAAGGTGTTAAGGAGTTTCATGTTTTATTAAGAGCTGGCAATCATAAAAGGCAGAAGTACATTTCATTACAAATGGTATTTGAAGGGCTTTGTAACGCAAAGGGAAGTTGTTCCTTCCTGCTGCTATGAAAGGCTGAGATGTGAGTAGTCAAGCACATTTCCATTTAAGGAAATAATCACTGCAGGGCAGGTTCTGCTCTAAATTTACTAAAAACTGTACAAATCTTGACCTCCAGTATACATAGAGTATCCACCTCAAGTCACCTCCTCTTTATTATAATACAAAAGCATGAACATTGGAAGCTGTCATTCAATAAACTTATAACCCAATGGTAAATTATGTGCACACAACTTTACTATGCTTACTAAAAACAGTAAGGACACATTCTAAGATGGAGAGACCTACTAAGACCTTATACATTATGGCAGGTCATTCAGAGATCAGCTGTAGGGTTGGCTGATTCAGACTCAGCAGAAAGATAGGATGGCCCAAAGAGTTACTAATTCAATTTCCAGCACATACAAAATCCCAGGAAAAAAAATATTAGGTGACAAAAATGGGGAAGGCCACTTTACAAACCAGGACTGACTACAAGTCCATTTTGCCTGAACTAGTACTCTCCCAAGTGACAAGCAACGTGAAAAAAAAAAAAAAAACTTTCCTAATTTTTTCATTGAGCTAATTACAATATATCCTTTTTCTACAGAATATTAAAATTCTTAATAAATATACACAAATATAGGTCAACATTACAGAGCAAAGGACATTCTGGGCAAGACATAAAGTTACTATGCATCATGTTTACTTTGATGCAATAAGGCAGTGTCGTGGTTTAACCCCACCCAGACAGCTTGTTCACCCATTCCCCCTCCTTCCTGCCCTCCCCCTACTCCTGGAGGGACGGAGAGGAGAATCAGAAAGAATGCAACTGCCAAGGGTTGAGATAAGAACAGTTTAGTAACTAAGGTATAACACAAATCACTACTGCTGCCACCAGTAATAGTAATGATAAAGGAAATAACAAGGGAAGAGAATACAACACCTCATCACCAGGTGACCGATAACTCGCCCCCCCAGCCCGACCAAGCACCAACCGATACCTAGTCCAACCCCACAGTCTCCTAGACCTTCCGGGTAACTCCCAGTTACATCCTGGGCATGACGTGCTGTGGTACGGAATAACCTCTTTGGTCAGTTTGGGTCAGGTGTCCTGTCTGCTTCCTCCCGGCTTCCCCTCCTCCCTGGCAGAGCATGAGGCTCACAAAGTCCTTGGCCAAACCAAAACATCATTTTTATCAGCTTTGTTCCCAGTCTGAAAGTCAAAACACAGCACTGCACCAGCTACCAAGAAGGAGAAAAAATTACTGCTAAACCCAGGACAGGCAGAGAAACCAAGAAGACAAAGGGCAAAAAAGAAAATGGAGATAAAACACAATTTTACATCTCCAGAAGTAGTTTGTATCCAGTTATCTTCATAATTGCAATTGAATATAAAAGACTCCCAAAAGCCTATGGAGATATATGGAGTCTTAAAGGCTACATCTTCTGAATATTATGGTCCTGCAAAGAATATCGGATACATTAATGATAGGGGGCCTGAATTAATAACCGAATGTTAAAACTATGTTATTCTTACGATTATCTTCAATCTCTTTATTTAACAATAAGTATTTCTCTAAAAGTGCAACTGGTGTTTAATGTAAACTTGTGTAAGAAAGGAAAGAACATCAGATAAGGGGAACTGGTGGTCAAAGTTTGCACTTGCAACACCATACACCTGGTTAAGACCCGGATGAGACTGGAACTGAGGTTTGAGCCAAAGCCAGGGGACTAGTGAGCATGCGTGCAAGACAGAGTTGAAAAGTTAGAGTGAGGAAGACTCGTTTACTTCATCTCGAGACCCCTGCCCACGACCACCAGGAGGCACTGTGCAGACGTGAAGGTAGCTTTAGCTCATTATAATATGAAGCTGAAAAATGATATGAATATGTATAGGTGTGTATAACCTATTGCATATGTAACACTTTAGAGAATAAATATAGAGGGAAAATGACACTGGGGTGCACATGCCTTTGGAGGAACTATCCCCCATGCACCTCAGCTGAATAAAGCTTACCTACTTTAATGAGTTGTGGAGTCAATCCGCATGTCATTAACAGAACATACATATTTTACTGTTGCTGGATCTTAATGATCTACTTAAAAAAAAACAACAACCAAACAAAAAAACTGAACTTCATAAACAGAACTGTCATGGTTTAAGCCCAGCCAGTAACTCAGACCCACACAGTCAATCACTCACTCCCCCCTTCTTCCTCCCCCTGCTCCCAGAGGGATAGGGAGGAGAATCGAAAAAATGTAAATCCCACAGTTTGAGATAAAAACAGTCCTGTAACTAAGGTATAATACAAAACTACTATGGCTACTATTAAGGAAAATAACAAGGGGAAAGAATACAATTACTCACAACCCACTGACTGATACCCAGCTTGACCCAAGCAGCAATCCGGGCCTTCAGGATAACTCCCCCCAGTTCATATACTGGGCATGATGTGCTGTGGTATGGAATACCGCTTTGGCTAGTTTGGGTCAGGTGTCCTGTCTCTGCTTCCTCCCAGCTTCCCATGCCCCTCCTCACTAGCAGAGTATGAGACTGAAAAAGTCCTTGATCGGAGTAAACATCACTTAGCAAGAACTAAAACCAACAATGTTTTATCAGCACTGTTCCCAGACTAAAGTCGAAAACAGAGCATCGCACCAGCTACTAAGAAGGAGAAAAATGACTACTACTGCTGAACCCAGGACAAGGACAAAATAAATGAATGTTCTTGCCTCCTAGACAATGTACTAATATTGCAAAATTGTCTTCCTGACTTAGATCTGTAATAGGTTTGCAGAATTAACAGAAGGTGAGAAAAAAACTTAAGAATCTATGATTCTATAAGCATTTTTCAAATAGGCTTATTCTAGACAGCAACAGAATAACCTAGGAAGGTTCACTTCCAGATGTGTAGGCAAGAAGCCTACATTTTGTAAATGATAAAGAGACACTTGGCTGGTCTCCTCGATTATGCTGCAACAGCTTTTTTTCTCCTTAGTAGATAGTGCAGTGCTGAGTTTTTTACTTCAGTCTGAGAACAATGCTGATAACACACCAATATTTTTAATTCTTGCTAAGTAATGCTTACTCCAATAAAGGACTTTTCAGTCTCATTCTCTGCCAGTGAGGAGGGGCATGGGAAGCTCGGAGGAAGCTGAGACAGAACACCTAACCCAAATTAGCCAAAGGGGTATTCTATATTCCATACCATCAATATATTCCATATATTCATGCCCACTATATAAAACTGGGGTGTGGAGACAGTGTTCTCACGGGAGAATGGATAATTGGTACATAAAGTCTGAACAATCCTGAAAGATACAGCAAGGCCGTGAGAGGCCTGAGGAAGCTTAAGCAAGCAAGAGAAGAAGAAGCTGTAATTCACTGAGTTAATGAGAACTGTGGACTGTTGGCAAGCTTTCGAGGTCAGGGTCTCACACCTGTGCTTAACCAAATGTGTGTTAGTCACTAAGGGTCTTCAAGACATGTATCCAATCATCATATGCCAAATCACTGTGTGTCGTGGTTTAAACCCAGGAAGACAGCTTTCACTCACTCCCCCCCCCCCCCCCCTTCTTGCCCTCCCCCTACTCCTGGAGGGACAAAGAGGTGAATCAGAAAGAATGCAACTCCCACGGGTTGAGATAAGAACAGTTTAGTAACTAAGGTATAACACAAATTACTACTGCTACCACCAATAATAGTAATGATAAAGGAAATAACAAGGGAAGAGAATACAACACCCCATTACCAGGCGACCGATAACTTGTCCCCCCAGCCCGACCAAGCACCGACCGATACCTCCTCCAACCCTGCAGTCCACCTAGCCCTTCCGGGTAACTCCCAGTTACATCCTGGGCATGACGTGCTCTGGTATGGAATACTTCTTTGGTCAGTTTGGGTCAGGTGTCCTGTCTCTGCTTCCTCCTGGCTTCCCTCCTCCCTGGCAGAGCATGAGGCTCACAAAGTCCTTGGCCAAACCAAAACATCATTTTTATCAGCTCTGTTCCCAGCCCGAAAGTCAAAACACAGCACTGCACCAGCTACCAAGAAAGAGAAAAATGACTGCTACTGCTAAACCCAGGACATTATCCACCCCTTATTCCATACCATTCACGTCATGCTCAGATCCTACATTTTCAATATACCATCACTCTTATCTCAGTGCACTTCTATCTTAGTGCATGGACTAGTCCCTATAAAGCTGCTGAGTCCATCTGGTCCATGATGCCAGGCTCCATCTCTTGTAACAGTCTTTCAGAGCAGAAGAGACTGTGTGCAGTGTTCACACTTGTGAATAACCTGGGCAATAGTGTCCATTGCTAAGTCCACCCCTCGATCATGAGTCCATCTCTATGTTGCATCTCTGCTCTGATGGCCTTAAGGGTCATGGGCCCACCAGGCTCAAAATAATTCACTGTCCCCTTCAGCAGTTTCTGCAGCTTGTTGCTGGGGACTCCATACAGCTGCCTTCCATCTCCAATGCTTCCAAAGCACTGGAGGGGCCCAGTGGACTAGATACTTGCCCATACTGTCCCACATGCCCTGCCACTCATGGCTGTCCAGCCTTGGGGGAAACCTCTTGGTCCTCCCATATCGTCGTCTAACCCCAGACAAGACCCAGACCTGACTCTGCTTAACTTTTGAGATCAGACAAAATGGTGGTGGGTAAAACACACTCTGTGTGTGTGCCAACATGGTGAACACCATCACAGTCAGCAGGCAGGTCCCAAGGGTACCCAAAGGCCATTCAAAACCTTCAGAACTCTCAAACGATGCTGCTGTACTTGTCACTGGGGCTGGTGTAG